CTCTCTGACAGGTCATTCAGGGTGTCTTGGAGGGGAGAGGTGTCCAACCTACAGCATCTAAACACTGGGGTACCTCAAGGCTCTGTTCTTGGGCCACTTCTCTTCTCCATCTACACATCATCGCTAGGACCAGTCATCCAGAGACATGGATTCTCCTACCACTGCTATGCTGATGACACCCAGCTATACCTCTCTTTTCATCCTGATGATCCCTCCGTTCCAGCTCGTATCTCAGCCTGCCTGTTGGATATTTCACACTGGATGAAAGATCATCATCTTCAGCTGAACCTCGCAAAAACGGAAATGCTTGTAGTTTCTGCCAACCCGACTCTACACCATAACTTTTCAATCCAGATGGATGGGGCAACCATTACTGCATCCAAAATGGTGAAAAGCCTTGGAGTAACGATTGATGACCAACTAAACTTCTCTGACCACATTTCTAGAACTGCTCGATCGTGCAGATTTGCACTCTATAACATCAGAAAGATCCGACCCTTCTTATCTGAACATGCAGCTCAACTCCTTGTTCAAGCTCTTGTTCTCTCCAAACTGGATTACTGCAACTCTCTACTAGCTGGGCTTCCAGCTAACTCTATCAAGCCTCTTCAACTGCTCCAGAATGCAGCAGCACGGGTTGTCTTCAATGAACCTAAACGAGCACATGTCACTCCGCTGCTAGTCCGTTTGCACTGGCTGCCAGTTGCTGCTCGCATCAAATTCAAAACCCTGATGTTTGCCTACAAAGTGACTTCTGGCCTAGAACCTTCTTATCTGCACTCACTTCTGCAGATCTATGTGCCCTCCAGAAACTTGCGTTCTGTGAATGAACGTCGCCTCGTGGTTCCATCCCAAAGAGGGAAAAAATCACTTTCGCGAACGCTCACGCTCAATCTGCCCAGTTGGTGGAATGAACACCCTAACTGCATCAGAACAGCAGAGTCACTCGCTATTTTCAAGAAACGACTAAAAACTCAACTATTTAGTCTCCACTTCACTTCCTAATCTGCAATTGCCTCTTTGAATATCACACTAATTGTACAAAAAAAAAAAAAAAAAAAAAAAAAAAACTACTAACACTTCCCTTCTTAGACTTTACAGACCTGAAACTTGCCTTTAGTACTTATTCATTGTTGCTCTTAGTTGTGTAAATTGCTTCCTTGTCCTCATTTGTAAGTCGCTTTGGATAAAAGCGTCTGCTAAATGACTAAATGTAAATGTAAATGTTAACAGTCAGGCTGCAGAACAGCTTTTTTCAAAGCTAAAGAAAAATAACTACTTTATGAACATGGCATTGCCATCCACACATGTTTTCCTCATGCGAAACATCATCCACCATTACAATGTCAGAAAAAACGAGAAACGTCTTCATGACATAAAAAAGGAATTCAACACAAACATTCACATGAATGACCACAGCCAGGTTGTGTTAGGTAATGTTTCCCTTACTGTGTAACAAATACATCAATTTATCCATAACTGTACTTATGTGTATATTTGTATTTATAGAAAATCCATCCTCCACAGAGAAATGCATGGACATGTCACTTGGTAATTTGACTGTTCTTTCCAGTTGCTCAGTGTCAAGTTTCTGTTCTCTAATTATTATGTGTTATTTTCAAATTTTGATGCTTTAATGTACTCTAAGGACCACTGACAGCACTGCCAGAAAATATTGTGACTTTACAAACGACCGCTGCATCACCAGGCATAACATCAGTCACATCTCCTCTGTCATCAGTACCAAGTACAGAAAAAACAGCTTGTGAACCTACCACTCTTCTGAATTTTTTGGAACCTACTAAGCCTTGGAAGAGGGACTGGGATCCATTACAAGAGAAACTGGTGAACATTTACATTTACATTTAGTCATTTAGCAGACGCTTTTATCCAAAGCGACTTACAAATGAGGACAAGGAAGCAATTTACACAACTAAGAGCAACAATGAATAAGTACTAAAGGCAAGTTTCAGGACTGTAAAGTCTAAGAAGGGAAGTATTAGTAGGTTTTTTTTTTTTTTTTTTGTACAGTTAGTGTGATATTCAAAGAGGCAATTGCAGATTAGGAAGTGAAGTGGAGACTAAATAGTTGAGTTTTTAGTTGTTTCTTGAAAATAGCGAGTGACTCTGCTGTTCTGATGCAGTTAGGGAGTTCATTCCACCAACTGGGCAGATTGAACGTGAGCGTTCGCGAAAGTGATTTTTTCCCTCTTTGGGATGGAACCACGAGGCGACGTTCATTCACAGAACGCAAGTTTCTGGAGGGCACATAGATCTGCAGAAGTGAGTGCAGATAAGAAGGTGCTAGGCCAGAAGTCACTTTGTAGGCAAAAATCAGAGTTTTGAATTTGATGCGAGCAGCAACTGGCAGCCAGTGCAAACGGACTAGCAGCGGAGTGACATGTGCTCGTTTAGGTTCATTGAAGACAACTCGTGCTGCTGCATTCTGGAGCAGTTGAAGAGGCTTGATAGAGTTAGCTGGAAGCCCAGCTAGTAGAGAGTTGCAGTAATCCAGTTTGGAGAGAACAAGAGCTTGAACAAGGAGTTGAGCTGCATGTTCAGATAAGAAGGGTCGGATCTTTCTGATTTTATAGAGTGCAAATCTGCACGATCGAGCAGTTCTAGAAATGTGGTCAGAGAAGTTTAGTTGGTCATCAATCGTTACTCCAAGGCTTTTCACCATTTTGGATGCAGTAATGGTTGCCCCATCCATCTGGATTGAAAAGTTATGGTGTAGAGTCGGGTTGGCAGAAACTACAAGCATTTCCGTTTTTGCGAGGTTCAGCTGAAGATGATGATCTTTCATCCAGTGTGAAATATCCAACAGGCAGGCTGAGATGCGAGCTGGAACCGAGGGATCATCAGGATGAAAAGAGAGGTATAGCTGGGACAATTACCATTACATACAAACGCACACACACACACATATTTATTGTTATTATTATTACAGCTTGATTAGGTGCTGGACCGAAATCGCCCTGGCAGTGAAATAATTTTGAAGGAGGGGCAAGTGTGCCTTATTCGAGAAGAATTTTGGAGCCTTGGATTGTTGAGGGACATGGACTCCCATGTAAGCAGTCTGTTTTTTTATTATAACTTTTTTTTTATTAAAAACATTGACTTATCAAAGTATTTATTGCAGATTGGAAACGCCTGCATGAAGCTTATTTGTGAAATGGCTCGACAAATTGTATGTACTATAAAACATAATATTTATTTAGATTGTTTTAACTTGATCCAAAAAAAAAAAAAAACTATTTCTAAACTGTGTGAAAATGTTCATGTCATTGTCAACAGTTTCTTTTTATTCATGTAGGGAAAGGACATATACATTGAGGACTTTTATGTTGTCCCTGTGTGGAAAGAAACTCCTAACAACATTGTTACTGGATTACCGGTGCGTGTATGTACTGTATTTACTGTGTGAGAAGTACAACCTAAATTAAACGACATAACTGTCCTGATCAATTCTAGGAAGATGCAGACTTGAAAGACCTGTTAGCCTTTCCAGCATGGACAAATGCCAATGGACCAGACCGCTTTGTTGTCTGTGTAAGAAAATATTGAAATGTCTAGTGCATACATTAATTGGTATTGCAATGTGTGTGTTTCTAAAATAAAACACTGAAAAATCTTGGAAGAAGCAATAATGTTTAAATGAAATATTTTTACACCTTTAACATTATAGATAATGATGCCGCTTCGAAGAGAGATGGTGTTTTTAGACTCTCTGTACGCAGAGCATGAATCAGGATTTGGAGATGAGGAATACAGGGCAATTTTTAGGTCTATCAATAAACTAAGACATGTTTTAGCCTTTATGTGATATATGGCTACGTTCCTATAGCCATTTCTATTTATTTCCTAACCGTGTATTATAGGTCTGTCACTTTTGGCTACGTTCCTATAGCCATTTCTTATACTTCTGGCTATGTTCATCTAGCCTTTTTTATGCATGGTGTTCTAGAGTTGAGGTGAGCTGTAATTGTTAGTATTACTACTATGTTTTGTTTACAGGAAAATTGCTTACCGAGTGGATCATGGGACATGGTCTGAAAAGACTGGATATGATTTTCCAGTGAGGAATCAACTTAAAAAAAATTATTATTTGGCTTTTACAACAATTAAATTTTTTGTACATTATTCTAAAATAAAATTAATTTGCTTTGCCTATTTTAGGCTTTGCCACGTCAGACAAGAGGGAATGATTGTGGTGTTTTTGTACTCATGGTAAGATATAAATTGAGTTAATTGATTTGAAGATTTTGTAAACATTGTAAATGACTGTGGCTTCTCTCTTTTCAGTACACCCTCTCAATGGTGTGTGGCATTGGGTTTCAACTCCAGGAGGTATTATTTTATTATTTATGTAACTTTATTTTGTTGGTGCTTTTTTTAATCATAGCTAAAATGTAACTATTTTAGTGTATATTATCTTGCTTTCTTCTAAGCAAAATATCTTTTAAAAAAAGGGGCATGGTTATTGCAAGCACACCCAACATCATGTATTAACAAAAACATGTTGGTTAACTGTCAGACTAAACAGTCTTTCTTTCAGATGGATATACCTATCATCCGTCAGTGGTGGTGCCTTCTACTCATGAAACGATTTCAAATTGATGGGTATGTCAGTATTTATTTATTTTTCTTGTAAATCTGTAAAATTAAAAATTTATATTGTGTCAATACAACAACTTGTAACATGAATAACAAAACATACTTAAAATCTCTCTTACCGGTGACCAGTATGTCACCGACTCGGTCCCAGTAACTCCCCTCGCTGGCCAGCAGAGGCCACCATCTCCGAACTTTTAGCATTACGTCATCCATCTACACTGATTGCGCATACACCTGATTGGAATCTGGCTAATGACCCACGTACCTCTTATAAGCCGCACTCAAACACTCGTTCAGGGCAAAGTCTTGTTTAGCCCCGGCCAGCATTTCTGAGCATTATCTCCAGCCTGATCTCCTGTGCACGACTCCAGCCTGTCTCTTACTTTGCTTCGCCTTCTGCCGGCCCACGACCCACGCTTGTTATACGGACTCTGACTCTCTCTCTGCCTGCCCACGAACCACGCCTGTTATACGGACTCTGATCCTTGCTGCCTGCCCTTGAACCAAGCCTGCATAACGGATCCTGGTTCTCGCTCACTCCCTTCCACTCATGCCTGGTAACTCACTCTGTGTCTGTTCATCATCAGTCTTGATACCCATACTACTACTGTGGATGTGTTTGTGCACTCCGGTGCATATTGTGTGTTTGAGTGAAGTTGTGATTAATAAATACTGCATAATGGATCCCTCCGTGTCAGTCTCCTCGTTGCACAGTAATTATGGATTTTGTCTTGTTATTAAAAGCTATGGGCACAGATTTGCTTTCTGGACTGAGGAGGCAAGAAGTGTCTTGGATGGAAAGATTCTGCTCCTTTTTAGGGTGAAAAGAAAAACCACATCCAATCTTCCGGCACATGTCAAAGCAGTTCAAGATCGGGAAAGGAATGACAAAAGATTAATGGACTTGATTATCACATCAAAATCAGCAGAGCAGCATTTGGTGGTATAGATGGTTCCACTTTAAATTACTCCTTTAGACACTGAGTATGGTTGACTTAAATATAGTCAAGTGACAACTTAACTATTATTTGCCAAATATAATTAATTACTTGTGCATTTACATATGAAATATAATTTCCTTCTATGACCCAAAGGATATACTCGGTGGGAAAAGGTCAAATTGGTTTCCACTAAAACCCCGTTCTCAAGTGCCTGTCTACATTGAGAATGAGCAGTCCCAGTCAATCATTTGTGACTACATCAGAGGAATTCTTAATAAAACCAAAACACAGCTGACCTTCAATGATGAGGTGGAGTTCATTTGTGGATGTCTCCTCCCAGAGGTAATCACAAAACATGTATGTACATGAGCATGCTTATGTTCTGCAGTGTGTGTTTTATTTTATTAATTGGTTTATCTGTATGTTTGTACAGGCCATAACTCATGGCATTTCCGAGTTACAAGGCTTGTCTTGGCAGGAGGCTGAAGATGTCTTCCTCCAGGGCCATTTATCACGCAAGGTATGTTTACATTTTTTTTTGTACAAAAGCTGTTAAGTTTTTATGTTTTATATTTTCTCTGCATTTTTTTACAGCTCGATGACTTGTAGGACCTCATGAAAATTTATAAAAAAATAAAGTTTGGTGTGAGAAAATTACTCAGAGTACTGTCATTTATTCTGTGAATAATAAGATAATGTTCATTCCCTCAACTCGATACTAAAGAGTTTGATAAATCCTTAATGATTTAAAAACAAAAAACAACAACAAAAACAATAAATGACTGAAAATATTTAAGTAACTGAACAATATCTATTTACAAATACAGTTTATTAAAATACAACAGACTTAATGCATTAAATCATAATCTAGTATGTTTAATATTTTATATAATGTATTCAATCATAGTGCAATATTTTATAGTAGAAAAATAGTGTAATTTACAATTTATACATCAATGAATTCAGGTTAGGCAATTTTTCCAACAGCAGGTGGCACTGTCTGAGAAAACGATAGGTCTGGAAGTGTTGGTCTGAGCGAGCAGGTCTGAGCATGCGGTTGGGTCTCGGGGCCTGCAGCTTCATAATGTTGCCACAGAGACTTAGGGAATGGTCACCTACAGTGGTAGAAACGCGGAACTTTGTCTAGACACTGTTAACAGTGATACCTTCCCTACCCATGACAATGTTCTGCTAAATCCTGATTTCATCTTGTAACGCTGGACAGAATGTGGCCCAGGATCTTTGTCCAGTGCACGTGTTAGCAGTTGCAAGGCAGCAAAATGATTGATCCGTCCCTGGGTGGGCTTGAACCACCAACCTTTCAGTTAACAGCCAAACGCGCTAACCGATTCTGCCACAGAGACTTAGTGAAAAGTCACCTACAGTGGTAGAAACGCGGAACTTTGTCTCAAAAGGTCTGCTATATGAACCCTAATGTAAGTTTGCTGAGAGAGAGAGAGAGAAAAGTAACAGAAACGCCCAACGTGGGGCTCGAACCCACGACCCTGAGATTAAGAGTCTCGTGCTCTACCGACTGAGCTAGCCAGGCAGATGAGGAGTCCCCACTAGAACTAGACACTGTTAACAGTAATACCTTCCCTACCCGTGACAATATTCTGCTAAATCCTGATTTCATCTTGTAACGCTGGACAGAATGTGGCCCAGGATCTATGTCCAGTGCACGTGTTAGCAGTTGCAAGGCAGCAAAATGCCTAATTCGTCCCTGGGTGGGCTTGAACCACCAACCTTTCAGTTAACAGCCGAACGCGCTAACCGATTGCGCCACAGAGACTTAGTGAAAGTCACCTACAGTGGTAGAAACGCGGAACTTTGTCTCAAAGTCTGCTACATGAACCCTAATGTAAGTTTGCTGGGAGAGAGAGAGAAAAATAACAGGAACGCCCAATGTGGGGCTCTAACCCACGGTGCTGAGATTAAGAGTCTCATGCTCTATCGACTGAGCTAGCCGGGCTGATGAGAAGCTCTTTTAGGAACCAGAAACCTTTTACAGTAATACCTTCCTACCCGTGACAATCTTTTGCTAAATCCTGATTTCATCTTGTAACGCTGGACAGAATGTGGCCCAGGATCTATGTCCAGTGCACGTGCTAGCAGTTACAAGGCAGCAAAATGCTTAATCCGTCCCTGGGTGGGCTTGAACCACCAACCTTTCAGTTAACAGCCAAACGCGCTAACTGATTGCGCCACAGAGACTTAGTGAAAGGTCACCTACAGTGGTAGAAACGCGGAACTTTGTCTCAAAAGGTCTGCTATATGAACCCTAATGATAGTTTGCTGAGAGAAAGAGAGGTAACAGAAACGCCCAATGTGGGGCTCTAACCCACGGTGCTGAGATTAAGAGTCTCATGCTCTATCGACTGAGCTAGCGGGGATGATGAGAAGCTCTTTTAGGAACCAGAAACAGTTTACAGTAATACCTTCCCTACCCGTGACAATCTTCTGCTAAATCCTGATTTCATCTTGTAACGCTGGACAGAATGTGGCCCAGGATCTATGTCCAGTGCACGTGTTAGCAGTTGCAAGGCAGCAAAATGCCTAATTCGTCCCTGGGTGGGCTTGAACCACCAAACTTTCAGTTAACAGCCGAACGGGCTCACCAATTGCACCACAGAGACTTAGTGAAAGGTCACCTACAGGGGTAGAAACGCTGAACTTTGTCTCAAAAGGTCTGCTATATGAACCCTAATAATAGTTTGCTGAGAGAAAGAGAGGTAACAGAAACGCCCAATGTGGGGCTCTAACCCACGACGCTGAGATTAAGAGTCTCAAGCTTTATCGACTGAGCTAGCGGGGCTGATGAAAAGCTCTTCTAGGAGCTAGAAACCGTTTACAGTAATACCTTCCCTACCCGTGACAATGTTCTGCTAAATCCTGATTTCATCTTGTAACGCTGGACAGAATGTGGCCCAGGATATATGCCCAGTGCACGGTTTAGCAGTTGCAAGGCAGCAAAATGCCTAATTCGTCCCTGGGTGGGCTTCAACCACCAACCTTTCAGTTAACAGCCAAACGCGCTAACCGATTGCACCACAGAGACTTAGTGAAAAGTCACCTACAGTGGTAGAAAGTCAGAACTTTGTCTCAAAAGGTCTGCTATATGAACCCTAATGTAAGTTTGCTAAGAGAGAGAGAGAAAAGTAACACAAACGCCCAACGAGGGGCTCGAACCCACGACCCTGACATTAAGAGTCTCGAGCTCTACCGACTGAGCTAGCCAGGCGAATAAGGAGTCACCACTAGAAATAGACACTGTTAACAGTAATACCTTCCCTACCCGTGACAATATTCTGCTAAATCCTGATTTCATCTTGTAACGCTGGACAGAATGTGGCCCAGGATCTTTGTCCAGTGCACGTGTTAGCAGTTGCAAGGCAGCAAAATGCCTAATTCGTCCCTGGGTGGGCTTGAACCACCAACCTTTCAGTTAACAGCTGAACGCGCTAACCGATTGCGCCACAGAGACTTAGTGAAAAGTCACCTACAGTGGTAGAAACGCGTAACTTTGTCTCAAAGTCTGCTACATGAAACCTTATGTAAGTTTGCTGGGAGAGAGAGAGAAAAGTAACAGGAACGCCCAACGTGGGGCTCGAACCCACGACCCTGAGATTAAGAGTCTCATGCTCTACCGACTGAGCTAGCCGGGCTGATGAGAAGCTCTTTTAGGAACCAGAAACCTTTTACAGTAATACGTTCCTACCCGTGACAATGTTCTGCTAAATCCTGATTTCATCTTGTAACGCTGGACAGAATGTGGCCCAGGATCTATGTCCAGTGCACGTGCTAGCAGTTACAAGGCAGCAAAATGCTTAATCCGTCCCTGGGTGGGCTTGAACCACCAACCTTTCAGTTAACAGCCGAACGCGCTAACTGATTGCGCCACAGAGACTTAGTGAAAGGTCACCTACAGTGGTAGAAACCCGGAACTTTGTCTCAAAAGGTCTGCTATATGAACCCTAATGATAGTTTGCTGAGAGAAAGAGAGGTAACAGAAACGCCCAATGTGGGGCTCTAAGCCACGACGCTGAGATTAGGAGTGTCATGCTCTATCGACTGAGCTAGCGGGGATGATGAGAAGCTCTTTTAGGAACCAGAAATCGTTTACAGTAATACCTTCCCTACCCGTGAAAATCTTCTGCTAAATCCTGATTTCATCTTGTAATGCTGGACAGAATGTGGCCCAGGATCTATGTCCAGTGCACGTGTTAGCAGTTACAAGGCAGCAAAATGCTTGATTCGTCCCTGGGTGGGCTTGAACCACCAACCTTTCAGTTAACAGCCGAACGCGCTAACCGATTGCGCCACAGAGACTTAGTGAAACGTCACCTACAGTGGTAGAAACGCGGAACTTTGTCTCAAAAGGTCTGCTATACGAACGCTAATGTAAGTTTGCTGAGATAGAGAGAGAAAATAACAGAAACGCCCAATGTGGGGCTCGAACCCAAGACCCTGACATTAAGAGTCTCATGCTCTACCGACTGAACTAGCCAGGTGGATGAGGAGTCCCCACTGGAACTAGACACTGTTAACATTAATACCTTCCTTACCCGTGACAATGTTCTACTAAATCCTGATTTCATCTTGTAACGCTGGACAGAATGTGGCCCAGGATATATGCCCAGTGCACATGTTAGCAGTTGCAAGGGAGCAAAGTGCGTAATTTGTCAGTGGGTGGGCTCGAATCACCAACCTTTGGGTCATTATATCTTGTTTAATACCCATTTTATTCATTTATACTATTCATTTTATTTATTTACTCATTTATATTAATATGCGAATATGTCTCAATAAATAATTAAAACTTTGTTAATTAGTTGAGTGCTATAGGTCTTACAAAAGCCTTTTATCTAAAAATAGCATAAAAACTCTTAACTGTACATAAGCTCATTGATCTCTCCATTTTTCTTCTTAAAATAGGTCTCTGGTAATTCATCTTCATCGCCCAACTATTTTTTTTTTCAATTATTTTAATGCAGTCTTTTGGTATTGCTTTTTTCAACTCATGACATTGTCTTTGTAATTTTGCTTTAACAACTCTTTTATACCCATCCTCCACAATTACTTTTAATGGTACAAATCCTTTTATTACTTCATATAATACATCTTTAACTTGTCTTAATCCTCCGTCCCACCATTCCTTAAAATATAAAACATTTCCTTCACTTAAAATTGTTGAATTCAGTAAAAGTGGTTGTTCTAGAATCTGCGCCCTTGCTTTTGGTATAATCAACACATTTTCTAAAAATCCCCCTCATGATTCTAAGACCTCAACATAAAATTTTGGCAGACCTGCTATCATCCGTTTCTTCATCTTCATCAATAAAACATTACATCCCATATTAAAATGTCCACATTTCTTCAAATAATAACCCAACACACTTTTCCAAATCACACCCATTTTCCCTTCCAAAAACCTTTGAATAATCTTAATTGTTAATGTTTTCATTTTTAAAAAACTATCCAAAAGTCCCAGACCTCCTTCTTTTACCTCCCCAATCAAAGTATAATAAGCAATCTTGGCTCTTCCATTTCCCCAAAAAAAACTTTAAAACTACATCATTTATTTTTTCATAGTATACTTCAGGCAACGCAGTTACACTTAACACATACCAGACCTTTGACAACATTAAAGCATTTAAGATGAATACTTTCCTTTTAACGTCAAATTTCTAGCTTTCCAAAATCTCAGTCTTTTCTCAATTCCATTTAAAACTCTCTCAATTTAAAATATCTGCTTTATTAGAATCCATCCCCACCCAAATTCCCAACATTTTTGTATGTTCCTTTTCTTCTTTAAAGGGTATATGTTGTGTTATTTATTTTACTCTTCCCACCCTCATGCATAAACTTTTTCCAACATTAACCTTAGCTCCTGATGCTTTACAATATCGCTCTAAAATCCCCAACAATGTAGTATCATCAGCGTATTGATACACAGCTTCTCTGTTGTCATTGTTTTCTATTTGTATCCCTTTAATTGTATCCCCAGTGGCTCAGCTTCCAGTGTGTATAATAAAGCAGTCAATGGACATCCTTGCCTTATTGATCTAGTTGGTTGAAGACATTCTGTTAAAAAAATACATTTAATACAAGTTAAAATATCTGTATAAAAAAATTTGAATCCATTTTCTAAAATTTTCCCCAAAACCAAACTCCTTAAGAACTGCAAATAAAAAATCATGCTCTACCCTGTCAAAAGCCTTCTCCAGATCTAAACCTATTAAAACACCCCCTTTCTCTTTTTCTTGCATATAGTAGACAATTTAGCTTACCCAATTCACCTGTACCGCATGTTTTTTCGATTGTGGGGAAAACCAGAGCACCCAGAGGAAACCCACGTGAACACTGGGAGAACATGCAAACTCCACACAGAAATGCCAACTGACCAGCGCACAGTACTGTGTGTGTGTGTGTATATATACATATATTGCATAAACTTTTCTAATATATTTGTTTTTGTTTTATTATTAATTTAATTTGTATTTATTTACTTTTTTACGGTAAATACAACTGTCATTACTATACGCAATTTTTTTCCTATATTTGTGTCTGCCTATTATTGTAATTGTATTACTTCTTCCTTGTTTATGCTTGTAATGCCTACTTGGTTTGCATATTTTTTGAACATTTAATAAAAATAAATAAATTAATAAAAACATAAAAATTAGATGTAGTGTATAATCCCAAATCTTATTTTAAAAAAGTTGGTGGTATGGAGTTTCTTTTAAAGTGTGACTTTAAGATTCATAAACTCATATTAGGCTAAAAAAAAGTCTCCTCTTTCTCTTTTCTTCTGGAGAAAGTATTATTTGTTTTATTTCAGCTCGAATAAAAGCTGTTTTTTATTCTAAACTTTAAACTTAAACCATTTTAAAGACAAAACCATTAGCCCCTTTAAGCTATTTTTTCCCCAATAGTCTACAGAACAAACCATCCTTATACAATAACTTGTCTTAGTTAATTTCATCATGTCAAACATAAAATAAATCAGTTATTAGAGATTAGTTATTAAAACTATTATGTTTAAAAATGTGCCGAAAAAATCTAATCTCCATTATACAGAAAATTATTTTTTTTACTTGTTCAAACTACTTAATTAAAATGTGCTGAAATAACACAATTATTGAGATTTCATTGGGACAACTTAATGTTCAGTCGACATACATTTTTTAAAAGTGTTAAGTTAACTTAATTTGTGTTGTGACAACATGAAAGAATTGTGTGGAACCCTGCACAAATATGGTGATCGGTTCATAATAAGTTTAAGCACATTTTCAGATTTGACTGTATTTGGCTTAACCGTTCTTGGGTGGCTCGCCAATGTATAGATGACTAATGCATAAAATAAGTAAGCTGACCAAAGTTCTTAAAGGGAGAAGACTTTATTGAAGACAATGTTAACAATGTTAGTTGATGTTAACTTGTCCATCTTCAAGTAACTTAAACCAAAGTACAGTCTGTGAGACACTGATGAAACCCCCCTGGAGATTACCCAACTGCTTTGGTTGGGTCACATCTCTTGAGTTCCTGTAGGTTATTTGGTTCACACCTTACCAGAAGCAGATACTTGTTGCATATGAAACAAGCCAATACAATCTATCAACATATAGAGTTATTTTGCCTTCTTGCAGCCCGATAGCAACTCTCACAACCTCGTACTGGGCTGTGACCCCTGATCTACACTACAAAACAGCTGGCAAAATCTTCACCCCTCTTCAGTTGAGTTTAAATTTTCAGGTGTTCAAAGGGTTTCATTATCATTAACTTTATATGCATTCAAGAGTTCACACTTGTTTGGCATGCTGTCCCGGGAGAGACCTAAGCTCATAAGATCCTCAAGCCCTGGGCTCCCTCCCGTTAGCAGGACGAGAGGGGAGTGTGAGCTCAGGTAGATCGGCTAAAGGGAGATATAAGGCTTACTAAGAGCTCGACTATGGTGCCAATTTAATGTTCAGTTTACTTAGGTTGTGTGTTTTTGGACTGTGGGAGAAAACCAGGGGAAATCCACGCGAGCACAGGGAGAATGAGCAAACTCTGCACAAAAAGTCAACTGGTTAGCAGCGACTTTAACCTGCGATATTCTTACTGTGAGGCAACTGTGCTAACCACTGTCTAATCATTGGCTGCTGTGTTGCCCAATCTAGAAAGGGGGGGAAGTAAGGGTGGGAGAGGGTTTCTTCAAGACAAGGATAACTGAGTTAAGCTACGGTCACACTGGGCTTTTCCTCCCATAGACTTCCATTCATACGCACACGAATGCGTCAGACTAGAAACAGGGTCATGCGTCAAGTTTCACCGGTTGCTGAGGTGCAAAGTTCATGCTTGGTGAACTCTGACCTGCGAAATCGCATCACTTGACTGCGTGAGACCAATCGAGGATCAAAACATGACCTCTCTGGACAGAAATTTAAACCATGGAGCAATTGCTCACTTTTTTAATTTCTAAAAATCTTGTTTGATCCCGCCCCTTTCCACAGCGCCGTATGGCAGAATTTCACAATCTCAAAGTCCAGTGTGACCGCAGCTTTGTGTTCTGGTTATCTATAGTGAGTCAGGAATCATCTGATTGGTGAATCATGTTTTAGCTAAAGCAGGACCAGCCGTTGACAATCATAAGCATGTGATCCTCTCGAAAGTAGTTTATAAATAATCTTCACTTGAATGAACAGACAAACTACATGAACAAGCTGCCGTTTTAAATATACCTGTGTTTGTGTGGACAAGGCCTCAATGTTGAGGACTCTGCTCTCCATTGTGAAGCTTCATGTGAGTGTTGAGGCTTCTTTTACTTTTAAAGCCCTTTCCACACTCACTGCATCTAAATCGATCCTCTCTTGAGTGAGTCTTCATGTGTTGCTTAATGGTGTCTTTCCGTGTGAGACTCTTTCCACACTGATCACATGTGAACACTATGGTTCCAGTGTGACCATTCATGTGGTTCTTGAGGCTAAATTTGGTTGTGAAGCTCTTTCCACACTGATCACATGTAAACGGCTTCTCTCCGGTGTGTGTTCTCATGTGGTGATTGAGTGTGTTTTTATGTGGGAAACTTTTACCACACTCTGTGCATGTGTAAGGTTTCTCTCCAGTGTGAATCCTCATGTGGATGTAAAGGTCTTGTTTTTTACCTAAACTCTTTCCACACTGTTCGCAGATGTAAGGTTTCTCCCTAGTGTGAACTCTCATGTGAGCAATCAGGTTCAGCTTTTTACTGAAACTCTTTCTACACTGTTTACAGCTGAAAGGCTTCTCTCCAGTGTGAATTCTCATGTACACATCCAAGTTTCTTGCATGGCGGAAGCTTTTTCCACACTGTTGGCATGTGTACGGCCTCTCTCCAGTGTGAATTCTCATGTGGGTTTTAAAGCTTTGTTTTTGATTAAAACTCTTTCCACACTGTTCGCAGGTGTAAGGTTTCTCCCCTGTGTGAACTCTCATGTGAACATCAAGGTTTGGCTTTTGACTGAAACTCTTTCCACACTGTTTACAGCTGAAAGGCTTCTCCCCAGTGTGAATTCTCATGTGTGCTGCAAAGTGTCCAGCATGATAAAAGCTTTTTTCACACTGTTGGCATGTGTATGGCTTCTCTCTAGTGTGAATTCTCATGTGAGCTTTAAAGCTTTGTTTTTGACCAAAACTCTTTCCACACTGTTCGCAGGTGAAAGGTTGCTCCCTAGTGTGAACTCTCATGTGAACATCAAGGTTTGACTTCTGACTGAAACTCTTTCTACACTGTTTACAGCTGAAATTACACCCCAATTTGGATTTCCAAGGTCTTCCGTGTGAAGTCTTTTTAGTCAGTGTGGGTTTTTTATCAGTCGTTATTTCTTGGGGTTTCTCAAACTGCTGCTTCTCATCTATTTCATTCTGTTGATGAGTCTCTTCTTTCAGCACCATCAGATCTAAAATAAAAAGAAGTTAGCTTTAGTATGAAGACTCAAAGCGACAAGCAAGAAATGAATGTTTTCACCCAAATATTAAAATGAACTTACCATTTACTCTCCGTCATGTGGTTTGAAACTTTCCTTTATTGTGGAACACAGTAAGCCAGTAGCGTTTTTTTTTTTTTAATATCTACTTTTGTGTTCAACAGGATTAAGAAACTCATAAAGGTTTAAATCCACACGAGGAAGAGTAAATGTGAGGCTATTTTCAATTCTACATCAACTATTCCTTTAAAAGGTTTCTACAATTACCCATTTTTTACATGATGTAAAATAAGTCTTTGGTGTTCCCAGAATGTGTCTGAGGTTTCAGCTCAAAATCAGATCGTATACCTTGTAGAATATTTAATTTTGGGGGTCAGCGGAAAACCAAGCTCTTTTTGTGCCTGTGGCTTTTAAATGCAAATAACCAAATGCACTCGCTCTAGATTACTCGTGTTGTTTCATCGATTGAGATAAATTCTGTATGTTCATAGCAAGTATGCATATTTCACACTTAAATTTGCAAGTTTGAATTATTGTATAAAACTTATGCAAATGCTTAATACCACGTTTGCTTTAAACTGGAGTAATGAGGAGACGGCAAGATGACACGCTTTGCTACTTGTTTCCATTTATTTGTACTTTTGTTTTTGTTTTCTTGTCTTTGTGCATGTCCTGAGGCTTAGCTGAAGACCTACTTGGTGACATTGTATATACCTGACAAGATGCAGAAATGCCATCTAAATAGGTTACTTGCGGTTTGTCCAATATACAAATATAAATATACAAAATAATAATGATAACCCAGGGTTTACGAATGTGAAATGTCTGTTAATGAACATCCAGGATTATTGTTTAACCCCAGGTATAGCATGAGCAGTGTGGAAGGTGACTACTGATAACCCAGAATTTATCCAGGGTTAGAATGGCCCAGGGTTAACAATTTGAAGTGTGAAAAGCCCTAAGAATACTCAGCATCAGCTCTCAGGATAAACAGAGTATAATGACAAACAGCGACAATTGTCAATCATGTCATGATGACCTGGGGCCTGTTTCAGTAAGGAGGTTCAACCAACTCAGAGTTTAAACTTGAACTCTGAGTTGATTTACAGAGAGATTAAATACTCAAGAGTTTTCAATTTTAGAAAAACATTTGAGCTACAAAAGTCTTTCAGTCAAGAGCAGTGAGGGATTTTCTCCTTTTGTTGTTTGATTAATGCTAAAAACAGTCGGCAGCAGGAATATTGCGCACTGTCACTTTAAGAATAGTGCGGCTCTGATATGGTTTCTCTTTCAAGTGTCTTTTGATTCTCAACTTGTTTGTATATTATACTAACAAGGGTTAATATGACTAATCACTAAACACTACACAAATTTGCATGTACTTGATCATTAAAGCGCTCACATTAAGAAAATAGGAATGATGCGCGTCCCGTGCTGCAAAAGCTACATTACAGCACATGCTTTTAGTCATTTTCATGTGGAACTGAGCTTTGCAGAGCAACAAGTGTGTACAACTGGAAAGGGAGCGGTATATGATGGAATAATCGTTTATCTCGATTAAGGAATTTTCATAATCATTAGAAGCCAAAATCGAAATTGAAACCAGATTTTCAATTAATTGCACAGCACTATCAAGTGGTAGAGGTTGATATGACATTTAGAATGTTAGCAGGACTAAAAAATCTTTTTAGAACGAGTAATAATCCTATTAATCTAGTTACAGTACATGTTCGTCGAAGGTCATTGAATTTAAGTAAATTATTCATTAAGAAAGGACAAGCCATTCTGCTACGTGACTTTGTTCTTTGTGTTACTGAAATGTAGGCAATAGCTATGATTCCATCCAAAAATGCGAATTAAATTTATGCGCAAAACTGGGATGTCACATAAAAGATGTGCGAATAAAGCAACGTTTCCATCCAATGAATCAAAGAGAACAAAATCGTCACTTCCTGATTAACAGGCCCCAAATATTAACAGTAAAAACAGAATTTCCTGCAGTAGAAGAAACTACATGAATCTTTTATTTATTTAATAAATGACTTTCACCTCAGAGGACAATGCTGGCACAAAATCAACACGTGTTGGCGTTTGAAGCCATAAGACGCAGTGAACAGACGCTCTGGAGGTCATTAATAATACAATAACATGAATACTGAAACGGTTCAGGTGTTTTAGAATGACCAAAACAACATTTCAGATGTTTATAATGTTCTCAGCCTGCTGGTGAGGTGGATTTTGTGCTCTTTGGAGTGTGAAGTTAATCTATATATTCAGGTTATATGTGTATAATCTGCTTGTAGACTTGCATACCATTAAAACAATTGGAAAGGGGAAATGGCCTGAGGAAACAACTAGGGGTCATAAAAGAAGGGATGAAAAGAGAGTGGTAAAAGAGCCTGAGGTGTCTCAGGAAACAGATGTCAGAGGTGGTATTTGGGGTCAGGGGTTAAACTAGGAGGTATCTTGTGTAATATATGGAGAACAAAGGAAAACAACGGATGTAAAAGGGTATTTAAATAAGCCAAGAACAGGAGTGAGGCAGAATTTTTCAGACAGAGATGCTACTGGGGGTCTCCTGAAAGTTCTCCTTTGTTGTCGACAATAAAGTATATTCTTCTGATATTCATAACCTCCAGACTGAGTTTGATTTAGCAAGAGAAAAACCAAGAAAACCACTACATTTGGCGTCCCTGGGTGGGCTGGAAAGGAGCAGGACTGGTGTTGCTGTGCATGCTGGACTGGAGAGAAAACACAAATATGTGGCCACAATAAAAAACGGTAAGCGATTTTATGCTTATTAGTTTGTGTTTTTTCTGCCAGGACCTGCTTGTACAGGTAAATACACTTGAACTGTTTCTCCAGCTTTAAAGAATTAAAAGTAAATGTAAAAAAGATATTAAAGAAAAAAGGGGTTTTGAATAACAGAAGAAAAATAATTTGCATGCAAATGATCTGTGTTTTCCTAAGAGGGCCTTGATGGATAGGATAAACATTAACTAGTAACTGTTACTCAGATTTGGGAAATTATTAATGATATAAGATATGCATAGAGCATTTATAGGTTTTAAGAGAGGGTTCTTAATGTGTGGTGACAGTTAAGAGATTAAAGCAGAGTAAGGTATGCAAATGATCTGTGTTTTCCTAAGTGGGCCTTGATGGATAGGATAAACAATCACTAGTAACTGTTACCCAGATTTGGGAAATTAATAATGATGTAAGAAATGCATAGAGCATTTATAAGTTTTAAGAGAGAGTCCTTAATGTGTGGTAACAGTTAAGAGATTAAAGCAGATTAAAGTAGAGAGATGCGCGCTAAGACCTACGATACCGCTTTGTTAAATGAGATAAACAAAGGGCTGCATGGGTAGGCAAGAAAGCCTGTGGTTACCGCTCTAAGGTTAGAGGGCTGCTCGGACAGGTCACTCAAGAGGAGTGTAGTGTAGAGTATTTATTTAATTTAAGTGTTTGTGTATTTGCTGCTTCAGATTGTGGCAAAATAGTCCACATTGGTGGGCAGAGAAGACTGCCTTCCTCCTCCTTGAATGGAATGAGGATGGGGGGATGCAGCTCCTGTTACACTGAGTGGAGGAGAGGAGTGAATGAGAAGAGGAAAAGTAATAAGATTAGAAGTGTGAATGTGTTTAAAAGTATGTTTTCAATAAGGAGTAGGTTAAAATAATGATTATAGTATATTATAATATAAAAGGAGGGCTGCATATGTGTGGTGTGATTTAAAGAGCAAGAAGAAAAGTGATTGATGCAGTTTAAGAGAAGAGATTATGATAGAAAGAAAGGAGTCTCCTAAATTAAAACTAATGGAACATGTGCATTTGAAAGACACAGAGTAAAAAGCAGAAGAATAAACATTTTTCTGAAATTATCTTTGTGTTTTAAGTTTGAATATGTTAAAAAAGAACAATAGGCAGAGTGGACTTAAATTCTTTACATAGCAACAGGTGAAAGACAGTCTGCTCCAGGATGGGGGTAAGAGAGAGATTTATGGTGTCCATGTGTGAACAATAGATTGCCTTTTTACAGCACTAGGGAAACAGAGAAGAGGAGAGTTAATGAGAGGAGATCAAACTATAGATAAAATAATGACATAGACTTTAACATAATTTGGATAGAATATAAGTTATAAATGAATAGATAAATTATAAAGTAGTATAGTAAGATAAATTAAATGTGGAAAAACTAATAATAGAGTTATATTATATAGAAAAGAGTTTGAAACTCTACTAATGAAAAAGAATAAATGAAGCCATAGTGATCAATATATATAGAGATAAAGGTAATATGGAGTAAAAGAATGTAGTAATAAACAAATAGATTTACTAAATAAGTATGGATAAATAACATATAAGTTAGTTCTTTGATTGAGAATAAAATAGAAAAAGAAAACTTGAAAATGAATATTGATTAATTGAAGATTTAATTATAAAATGTGTAACAAAATAAGCTTTAAAATGTATAAGAAAACCTAAGAGCGAAAAACTCAAATTACAGAAAGGAAAAAGAATAAAATAGAAATAGGAAAAAATAAGTCCACTGTTTCATAGATAAAATTAGATGTTTAAAATATGCTTACAATATAGGCACATTGAACAGATAAGATAAAAAGAAAAAAGCAGTAACAATTTAAAGAAATAATTGACTTCAGAGAATTTGATTGGATTTAAGGTAAAAAAAATGTTTTGTCATCTTTCTCAAAGTCAGCTATGTCATTTGTTTGTAGTAAAGTACATTGATTCAGATGAAAATCATAGAAGCTAGGTAAATGTTAAAGAATGCATTAGAGTGAGTTAAAAAATTAATTTTAAAGTTTAAGCAGTAAGAAGCTAAATTGATAAGTAAACATTGCAATTCAAAAATGAAAAATGCTTTTAGTAAATAAATATGTGAATTTAATTAATAATATTAACTTTGAGCTATAGCAGTAATGATTTCGAACAGTTATTCCAGATATTGGGCCACCATGTAGTATTGTTGAATTAAATCAGGTATGGAAAAACAGATATGGAAATAAAAATGCAATACTAAAATATGTGACAGAGAAAATAAAAGATAAGATAATGACAAATGGCAAACAGAAGAAACATTTGATGTAAGCAGTGAAAAAATAGAAACTGAGTATAGAAAATGTTACAATGTAAAAATGAGTGGCTAGTCAAGGAACACTAGCATAGATGAGGAGAAATGTAAAGTAAAGCATAATCTGAAGCTAAAGAAAT